TAAAGGTAAAAGGATGTGATGGATGGGAACGAGAGTGAAAATGGGATGACAGTGAAAAGAATAAAAAAAATAGTAACACCGATAGATATCCAATATTCGAATTTTGATCTGTATCACTAGAACTTTAAAAAAAAAAATCAAAAATTTCTGATATAAATTATTATAAAATTATTATAAAAATAATAATATTTATAAGATTTTGTTATATAAAAATATCAAAATCAATAATCTTTTGAAGGTTAATGAAACTTTTGAAGGATAACATAACAATTTACAATAAAATATTTACATTAATATTAACTTTCAAAGGTTTTTGTAGAAAAAATTTCCTGATAATATTAAATTCTTCTATATATTTTACATATATTTGATATGGATTTCTTTTAGGATGTATTTTAACAGGATGTAAAGATTCTAAGATATATCATCTAAAATGTCAGTTATTATTATTTTATATATTAATAATACCATTATTGTGTTTTGATATATTATCAAGTTTCAATTAAAACATAGTCTGCAATTTTAATATTAAATTTTTCAATATATTATGGATATACATTTGATATATTAAAATATACAAGTTTAATTTTTATATATTACATATCTTTTATTTAATTTAAAATTATTATTTGTTATATAAAATGTTAGCAAAGTATATTTGTAATTACAGTTATCTTCATAATTCTGATAAGATTTGTAATAAAGTTTATATTTGTTCTGAAGAATGCCAGTATCATTATTGTACTAAAAAGTAATATATTTGTACTGATTGTAATAAACTTATTGAATTTGTTTGTGAACAATATAACTTATATAAGAGAGGTTACTATATAATTCAATATGTTAATAGATTACAAGAAAAAACTTATGAAAATAGTATATCAGGAACATAATCTAGAGTACTAATATAAAGAACAATTTTTGATATCAAGAGGTTAGACTTAAAGTTAAATTTATTTTGTATATCAGGAACTTAATCTAGAGCATTAAATACTTTGAACAATTTTTAATATCAAGAGGTTAGATTTATTTTTTACTATTTTAAAAAGCTTTCTAAGAAAAATTAAGACTTATATAACATGAATGAATTATGACAAAATATATATCAATAATGCAATTAAATTTATTTTACATTTTAGAAAACTTTCTGAAAGAAAATTAAGCTTATATATAACATGGGAAAAATTGGAACAGAATATATTATAAGGTTAGACTTTGATATTGTGTATAGTTTAAAACATAAATCTATACGTGTTGCCCAAATCCCAAATCATTTGGAATTTGGGATGCCAAAATCCCAAATTACTAGTATTTGGGATTTGGGATTTGGGATTTCGGCAAAAAATACTAATTATAATTTGGGATTTGGGATTTGGGATTTCGGCATTTGGGATTTCAGCATTTGGATTTTGAATTTGGGTGGCAGGTATAAATAAATCTAACCTCTGTGAGGTTAGACTTATGATATCAAGAGATTAGATTTGAATATTTTTTATATTCAAAATGACAAGGTAAATATAAATCTCTTGTTATTCAAGATTAAATTTATGATGTAATTAAACTTATGATAAAAATCATTATCTATTTAAAGCTTTAGGAAGCATTGACACACACTAGTCAAATACAAAAAAATCACTATATCAAATAGTAATTCCTATACTATAAATTAGCTAAAAATTAGTAACAATTGACTGTCCTATTGCATCCTATATTATAATTAGCTAAAATTGAAATTCCTTTTCAGTATGAAATATCTTTTGTATTTGACCTGTAACACTAATGCCAATATTGTATATTTTGTCTCAAAACCTTCAAATTAGTATTGTGTTATAAACTAATTATTAATTATATAGGTATTTTGACTAAAAATTATCTGATTGGAATGAAAAAGTATTATTTGAAACCAGAAACATGAAGATTCTGAATATACTTTATTATTATACAAAAATTGCAAAATTGTAATTTATATCTAAAAATATGTAATATTAAAAACTTGTAAAAATAATTATGTAAATCTATATAATTATAATTTATATATAATTTATGTGATATTTAATATAAATATATGTAATTATATGTAAATCTATATAAATTTATATAAATCTATAACTTATAGTAAAATTATTAACTGAATATATTCTCAAAAATTTTGAAAATTTTATTATTTAACACAATATTTAGAATTTTATAATTTAATATAGAAAATATTGTATGAAGACTTCATTTATTTTTATACAACATTATGGCCTATTCCAATTATAGAAGTTTTTGAAAGCATAAAAAGTTGGATATCAAAAGTAACATAAATAATTATTATTAAGACCCTGTGCATAGACTTTGAGTATTTCCTGAGATCACACTTAAAGATATAACCATTTCAGACAGGTGAGTTTAATATTCTAGGTTTATAAAGTTTATATGATTACAGTGTTTTAAAAAAAATGAAATTGTAAAATTATTCTATTATTTTCCTCTAGATCAAGGAAAACATAAATTTGAAATCCATGAATTTAATGTGAATTGTATAACATGTTACTTTCTAATTAAATTTTAATTATCAATAATAAATATTTGTGGTTATCTCTTTTGAAAAAAAAACAAATCTTATTAAAAATGCAAGTGGAATACAATGACATTTTAAGCAAAAAATATCTTTATCATTTAGTACAAAATTGTTTATGAAATAAAAAAGGCCACAGAAACTCTTAATACTTTTATTGAAATAAGAATTCAAAATATTTTATCCGTGGTTAGTGGAATATAGAAAACTATCAAGAGTTTCATTATTGACCTTTGGAGAATTTTGAATGTTTCAGTAGAAATAGTTCCTGGTTGAGACTGGAAAATAAAGTAAGAATTGCTTGTGACTTTATTGAACACATCGTTCCTTACACAATGGACGCATAAAAAAACAATAAAAGATATCAAAATAAAATAATTCCTAATTCTCTTCTTCATTTTTCTTAATTTTTCTTCATTACAATTAATTGTTCCACAAAAAATAAACTATATGGCGAAGATCACTTATTATTCATTTTTCTTTTAGCAAATAATGATAGTATGTTTTGCATCTGACGTATAAAGATTTGATATAAATATTAATATCAATGCGTGTTACACAATATTACGAGATATTATTATATTATAGCCGAAAAATAATTAAGAGTTAAAAAAAAAAACAAACTAGTAATTAAGAAGCCCAGTAAAAAATTCTTCCATTAAGAAAAAGATGAAATAATTTATTTAATTTAGTATACAAAATACACGAAACAATCAGAAAATTAAATAATAAAGAATTTCCTTATAATGAGAAAATCATTATTGGTTAGAAAATAATGAATAAATTTTTAAATGCATTTTTCTAGAATCTAAATATTTAATTCTTTGTTACCTTGACACTAATCAAATTAATTTCTTGGCAACCATGTGATTGAGAATTAGCGCATGTGCATGGTTTAGGCGCCACGTGAAATCGAACGATTCCTTTTCGGCCAAATCAAATAACGTATGATCCAACCAATACGTTATCAATCAATCGAAGATTATGTAATATTTTAATACTATTATTAGCCTTATCAGGAAGAAAGTAAATTATTAGATGACTTTTTTAAAAAGTTTTTCATTCTTTTAATAGCATGATTTAAATTTAGGAAGTTTCACAAAAATCTATATTTATTTCAGAACATTACGCGTTTTACTCAAAACAAACCCAATTGTCTCGATAAAAATGTAAAAGTGGCTGATTTCGTTTTGCGTTTTTGGGAATGAGGAGGTGCGCACAAACTGGATGATTGAATATTCTTAACGTAAAAAAAAATAAATAATCGCATCATTGTTTTTCGGATTTACCGCGCGCGTTTATTTTCTTCAGGTAATTTGTTATAAAGCGTCGCGAGATATTTCCTTGTGTATTTATTAAATCATTGAATGGAATACAGCAGAAATAAAAGAAATTTTAAGGAATTTTTTTATTATGATTTTTCATTTTTAGATAGTGAACAAATTTTCTTTCCTTATCGTATCACATGCATTAAGGTTAACTAACAAAAACGTTAAACAGGATACAAAGTCACTTACCTAAACCACTCACCTTTATTCAATATTATATATTGCATTTATTTTAAAGAATTTATTGTACGACTTCGCTTTCTTTTTCAACACAACTTTTATTTTCGATTTAAATCGTTATTCTAGCTTTATCACCTGAAAACAAACCACTAGAATTTTGAGTACTCTACAAAACACTACTTCTGTTACTAATAATAGAATCCTTTCTTTAAAAATAGCTTCGGTACTCTTTGTATGATCATAAATAAATGCGCGCAGGATTCTTAAAATAACATTGTTAAAGCTCTAGATTTCTTGAATCACGGGATCAAGAAGATTCCATTATCACTAATTTTTCTTAAGATCGAATTATTTTATAATTTCATTGTTGTAAATTTTTAACTTTAGAAAGAAGAATATGAAACAAGGAGAAATCTTTCAAGACTGAAACATTCAAAACAAAAATTTGTTGATAGAATTTTTTTGTTTATTTACTTTTGCATTTAAAGGTCTCATTGTATCCGATAATAATGATAAATAATAATGTCGTGCGATCAACGTGAAAAATTATAAACTTTTATTTAAAAAAATAATTCGTGTTGCTTATTGCTTGACGTTGTGAGACTACTTTAAAGATTTTTTTTTTTTTTAATCATTTTTATTTGTGATTAGAATTTTACCTTACACCTCCCCGACTCCCAAAAATAAAATAAAATAAAATAAAATAAAATAATTTTTTTTTTACTTTCTCACTTTAAACCACTTTAAAAAAAAAATGCATTCACTCATTCCTGAATTTATTATCATAACTCGAAATCGTTACAAAAAAAACCCGTACATAAAAAAAATTTCAATTTAGAAATTTAAACTCAATGAGATATGTTAATTGGTTTTGATTGAGAATTTCGTTAAACACAGAAAGAAGAGCATGCAAAATTTTTTTTTTACTATAATTATTCTGGACGATGGTGAACCGATGCAACAAATAAACAATCACGAACTGTTCCCTTAACACCAACATCACCACCGTCCCAAAGCTTAATCGTATGGTTGCTTTTCGGTCCTTGAAAAAAATCGAATGACCATAATTTAATTTTTATATAAATAGACTTAAAGGTTTGAATATTTTTTTGTTAAATTAAAAAAATTATGATATGATCTTAGAATAATATAAGCTTAAGGCGGGTGCATCTTAATAAATATAAGTTGTTAATTATGATAGGCATAATAAGTTCATTAATAATCGATTTCTTAATTGTTAATATGATATGATTCCTCTTTTCCTCCCTCATTTAAAGTAAAAAAAAAAAAAAAAAAGTTCCCATAGTATTTTGCGTTTTTCTTTTTCCTTCCTCTTTATGACGAAATTTTTTTAAATATAATTAGAAAACTGCCCAAACGAAAATCCATTACCGTAAAAACATAAAGGATTTGCTTGAGGAGATTGAAAAATTATTTGCGAATGTTCGAAGTTTGTCGAATCACCGTTTGTGAAAAAATTGGGAATATCAATATTGCTAGAGAAACAAGGACTCTCAGCTGGAGTCGATGGACTTGAAAAAACAGGGCTTTGATAAAGTTCAGGTGAAGTATTGAATTGAGAATGAGTTATGTTGGCGAACGAATTGCCTATTTGAGATGGCGTCATTACCCCTCCTTGTATAAGAGTAGGCGAAGATGAATAATTGTTTTTGATTGATTGTGCTGGTGTCGATGGAGTTGTAGTTGGAGGCGTTAAAATGACAACATTCTGATTTTTATTCGTTGAATTGGAAGTGTTATTATTTGTTGATTCATTTTTAATTTTTGCTTGCTTATTTTTAATTTGCAACCAACGAGTACGACATTGCCTCTATTATAAATATAAATATAAAAAACAAAAAAAAACAGAATGTTAACAAATATAATTAAATTATTTTTAAATAATTCAAATAATAATTTTTCATTATTATTTTCACATGAAGGAAAAAAAAAATTATTTAAAAATAAATTACTTGTGTCCTGCCTTCAATCATTTCTGCAATACGAATCCAACATCTACCATAAATCTTAACACCATCTTTTAAAATTTCGTCTTCTGACGGAGACCATTTCCCCTTTTTAATATTTGGGTCTAATGCTTCGGTCCATCGAGCTTGACATTGAGCTCCGGTTCTTTGTGGAATACGTTTTGAAACCTTATTCCAGGGGAGAGGTTGTGGGTTACCTTGTGAGTCGATAGCATTTAGATATTGTTGTACAGTTTCAGTAAGTGTAGAATCTTCTTGAGCGGTCCAACGACCTTTGAGAATGGATGGGTTAAGAGCCCCTACCCAACGAGCTGAGCATTGCATCGGGGTTCGATTTGGAATATTAGTTGCTACTAGTGACCATTTATGTGGACCATAAATATTTACAGCCGCACGTAACAATTCGTCTTCTTGTTCAGTCCATTTTGTGTAAACCGGAGGTTTTTGATTTACCAGATTAGAAATAGGGGAAGAAAAGTTTTTATGTTCTATGTTCTTTTTTTTTTTTTTTACAAATCGATTTTTTTTTTTTTTATTATTATTATAAAAACAATTCAGTATAAATAGTACAAATTTAAGATATTTTTTTTTAATTTAGAAATAAGAGATAAGCTTGTACCTGTTCTAATTTAACAATTTTAACATTATTATTATTGTGATCGTCATAAGACATTTGTTGTTGTTGTTGTTGTTGATTCATGTTCTGTATGTTTGATTGTGAGAATTCTTCTTTTATTTCAACATTTGGACTGGGTACTAACAATTGAGCAAGAGCCATGGCTTGATTTTCGGCCAAAGTCTTATGATATGTTTGATATGTTGCAGTATAAGATTTATTTGGTGAAAATAATTGAGACTAAAATTAGGTAAATTTGGGGGGAATATAAATAACAGAGTATCTTTTAAGTAATTATGATGTAAGCCCTTTTTGAAAATGGAAAAGTTTAAAAGAAAAATGCTAATTATGTATAAATTATATTTATGTGTAACAAATTAGTTTACAATTACGTAGTTTAGAGCATATTGTGTGTATAGTTTAGCTGTGTTTTATTGAACTACTTACGTTTGTAGCGACGGTCGCTGAGTCAATCTGATAATGACAAAACAAATTGATTAAAAAGGCAATAACTCCGAGTATTAAATTTCTTACAATAAATTTATTGTTACTTACCGAACAAAAACCAGTGGTTGACATATTCTGTTCTATAGAATTAACCGTTAAATTATTAAATCTTTGACTATCCAAAGATTCTAATGGCTAAATAATAATAATAATAATAAAAATCAATAAATAGGAATGAAATTTGAAAAGATAAATTTTAATAGAATTTATTTTCATTTAAATTTAACATACCATAATACTATTTTGACTATTTTGACTATTTTGACTCTAGTTAAAAAAAAAATAATAATAATCAGATGTAATTGATTAGTTTAGTTAGAATAATTCATTTTATCAAATTTTAGGATGAAAAAAAAAAAAAAAAAAACCTGAGATTGTGATTGTTGGTAAAAATGACTTGCGATTTGTTCATTCTGAGGTTGGCACTATAGTAAAGATTTGATAAAAGAATTAAAATGTTATTAATGATTTTAAATGATTTGAAAATAATTCTCTGTTTCATTTTCTAATTTTTTTTCTCTTAAAAGAAAAAAAAAAAAGAAGAAAAGAAATTAAATCTAAACTTACATCACCAATTAAACGATTGACGGGTGTAATGTTTTTATTATTATCGATTATATATGGTATATGAATCATGTTTGTATAATGAAAGAGATAAAAGAGAGAAAGTAATTAATGAGTGTAGCAAAATTTCGGCCGCGAAAAATGTTGAAGCATATTTATGTGTGTGCTTTATATACAGTTAGTTGATGCATTATGTGTAACATATTATATTTTTATGCGGGTTACGTAATTTATCTAAGTTCATGCCTCCATTAAGTTCAAATTATGTAAATTTATTGAATAAATTAATTACGGTGACAACAAACACACAGAAATCGATCACTTTTATATTACTTTATATTCATTATAAACACGATCGTTACCTACAATTTACCTGTAACCTGCAATTTATACAAATTGAAAGATATTAATATAAAAAAATTTATAAAGGACAAAACATTAAATACAAATTAAGTAAATAAGTTAATTTTATATGGTCCGTAAAATTGTTTAAATAAAGAGAATGAGAATAAATTACTATATTTATGTAAAATTCTTCATAAATAACGCGCACGTATAGCATAAGAGTCAAAGATGTACAATTTTATTTAATAAAAGAAGTTAAAATTACTTACGTAAGTGACCGACCCCGGGCAAAATCTAGTATAAAATCGTAATTTTTCAAAGAAATAATGATGATGTCATCGAATAACTGTGCTGTGATTTCATAATGCATGTTTTTGATAAACATAAATTTTTAGAATAATTTTTTTTTTTTCAAATAAAAAAATTTCAGGTTTATAATTATTTAAGGAGGTACGCACATCGATCGTCTCCCATCCCAAAGTAGATCTTCTCCTCATGTAGATTATCAAATCAATCTATCAATAATAACAAACTTAATACGTCTCACATACATAATAAATACATAATATACATCTAATATACATATTCATCTAATATACATATTCATCTAAGCATACCATTAATTTTATTTGGAAGGGCTGTTTTAAAAAAATATACTGCTAAAATAAAAACAAATACATCTTAATATAAATATATTTTAATATATACATTACATAAAATTACATAAAAATACATAAAAATACATAAAAATATATAAAAATACATAAAAATACATAACGACGCCAAATATAATTATTTACTGCATCACTGCAGGCCATAGTTGGTTAATTTTAATTATATGTATTATGAAAGTATCCAAATTTAATAAACGCATTAGAAATTAGTTTCTTGGCTTTTCACAAACAAGCTACTCAATAAAGATAAAGAATTTGGATCTTTAAATCAATCTTATTAACAATTTTTTTTTTTTTAAAAAAAAAAACGTTGAATAGAAAAATATTTTCCAAATGGAAAATTAGTATTAAAAAAACAATTGAATGGAGAAAAAAAAAAGTAATAATTCATCCTTAAAATGTTATAAAAAGAAAAAAAGAAAAATGTAATTGGATAAATTAAGAAATGGTCGAACCTAAATCGAGAAATCTTCACATAAGAAAAGGGGAGAGGAAGGATACGGTTTTACTTTTATATATGATAGATTACTTTTTCAATGTGATAAGAAAATAAAATTAATACAACAAATAAATTTCCAAATACATAACAAAAGTTTCATTTAATAATTCTTTTAAGGGACCAATTAGAAAAAATGTGAAAAATATTTGAAAATTATGCGGTACTGCATTTAAATGTCCGATTAAAAAGATATACGTACAGGATGAAATACCCAGAAATGAAGGGTAAAAGGAAAGAAAGTAAAAAAAAAGAGAAGAGAGAACATTATTCAAATGCTGACGTTTAATTGGATAACTAGTAATCGTAATAATAATAATAATAATAATAATAATAATAAAGAACAATATGTAATATAATATAAATATAATATTATAAAGAATACAGATTTATTTTTTTTAATAACTAGTTACATCCAATTAAAGAAGCTATAAAGTATGAATATTCTTGGCTAAAATTTTTGAAACAGCAAATAATGTTAATCATGGCGGTGTTTGGTAAGATCCATAAATTTTTAATCTGTTCTACAGTAAAGTTTTTGCATGACTGATAAAATTTCTTTGGTGGTAGTGACATCCAGTTCTCATCATCATTATTATTATTATTATTATTTGATAAAATTCTAAACTGCCAATATAACAAATATATAACTAATACATAATTAATAATTAATACATAATTAATACATAATTAATATTTCTAATTAATATTTCAATAAATATTGTTAATTAAATATTATTAATATTTATTTATATAACAAAAAAAAAAATTCGAAAAATTAATTATTCGATTACCAATTAAACTTAAATTAAAAAGTTTCAACAGATCGTTGTAATAAACAAAGTTCAAATTTAAAATATGGAAAATATATGGAATATAGAATGGATTTGTGCAATGCGAAAGATTCGAAGTTAATTGTATAGTAACACGGAACAAACATTTGTTGTGAAAAAGATGCAAGGTAAATTAAATTGTACGAATGTATTGCAAATCTAAAAAAAAAAAAATAATAATTTTTATTAAAAATATTGACAGGAAAAAAAAGCCAAAATGAGATCTTTATTATTATGTTTTTGTCGTGCAAATAAAACAATACATTACCTAACTTTGATAAAACCTTTTTTTTTACAGAATTTTTTCCGTTATCAGATATGAAGATACAGAGTAAATCTGATTTTATTGGTCAGATTAAATTTTTTTAATTTTGTAAATAATTTATATACTTAAAATTTTTTCGAAACCAAAACAAATAAATAATAATAAACTTAATTGTAAATAATTATGCATCACGTTTCACGTGAAAGTTTCAGATTGATCTTTTTGAATAAATTTTTTATATTTTTATATAGACATAGATTGCCTTTTTTGTCATTATTAAATTCCAAAAAAAAAAAAAATTAATTCATATATGTATATTTAATTATATTATTCTGTATAGGAATTTACAAAGAAACGAATTATGCATAATTAATAGAAGATTAATGAATAGTCTCTTTGAATATATATAAAAAAAAAAAAGAAGATAACGATTACAATAATTACTGTAATTTTTTTATTATTATTCAAGAAAAAAGTAAATAAAATTAAATAAATGTAATAAAAGAAATAAAAGCAATACATCTAGCAGATAGATAATAAAGAAAATTAGAGATATTCACTATACTCACGTGCGCACGATTAAAATGTTAAAGTTATATTAAAATTTGCATTATATATCACATTATATTATATATATATATACATTAAAATTCACATTATATTCATTATGTTATACATGTTTTGCTTTTAATGTTTTCAATGTTTTCAATGCTTTTTTAATTATTTGTACCGTTTTTTTTTTTCAAAAATTTGGCAGTATTCTTCTTCAGGTAAATATCTGCATTATTATTCACTCCTTGCGATAATTTGCGGGGTATAGGGATCAGATCTTCACGTTTCCTTCTACCATTTTACACATAATTATTTATTATTTACATTATTAAAGGTGACGATTTGATGCGTGTCTGTTTACTTAATTTCCATGATCTTAAAATAAATTTCGGGGAAATCCAGAATAAAATATAAAATCCGTCAACTAATAGATACAGTATATTGTATTTGCTATGTTTGTACTTCAAACTAATTTTTTCTTATTATATTAACCAAAAATAATTTAACAATTAATAATAATAAAAAAGGTTAATAAGAAAGATTAGTTAATTTATTTACGATAAAAGGTAATGATGAACTTTATTTACTTAAGTGCTTTATTTTAAATATATTTTTAAATTATTTGAATTACTTTAAATAATTTTAATTTATTTGAGTACTTTATTTTAATATATTTTTTTTTAAAAAAGTTACTTGAACTACTTTAAATAAATTTTTAATTATCTAATTTACCTTAAATTATATTAATTACTTTAAATTAAATGAATTTATTGAATTTATTGAATTTATTTGAATTTATTTATTTGAATTTATTTAATTTATGAAGAAAAATTTCAAAAAAAAAAATTTTTATTATTTACTTTGTCCTTACATGCATAATCCATTTATTCCTTATTGTCATCTGTAAAGAGTCAACAAGTATAAAAAATAAATTTATATAATTTAATTACTTATTTTTTAATTAATTAAACGAATTACATCATTTTTCAAAAGAATTTAAAGTATATAATAATAAATATTTGCTACAATAATATTTACGACAATAATATTCAATCTTATTCTGTTTTACCATATTAAAAAAAAAGATAATAATAATTTCCCAAGAAGAATTAAAACAAAAACAACCATTTATTATAAAATGTATCACAACATCACAACATGTCAATAAATAACCATAAAAATGTTAATAATAAATAATATTTAAATTACATAATAAACTATAATAAAGTGAAGTATGTCATTTATTCTATTTGTTGATAATTAAAGAAAAAAAAAAAAGAGAAATGAAGCCAACAAATTTCATATATACAACAACTTCGTATACAACTTCAACTTTCATACACTTATTACATTTCATACTAATTCAATTTTTCGTACAATCTTTCGTATCTCAATTATTCTTTAAAGTTTACGCCTAATTTTTTTTTTCAATTAGATTTCGCATGAATAATAAATAAATAAGGTATAAATAAAGTATAAATAGATACAATTTGGATTTTAATCATATGCTCTTATCTTTTTATAAATGTCGAAAAAAAAAAAAGTTTACTACTCATATCGACGATCGGAACTTCCATTATTGTCGATTAATTGGTGAATCTATTAAAAGAATGTTTAGTGAAATTTGAAATGTATCATGTTACATCTGATAATTTTATCATTAAATAATAAAAAAAAATCAATTGTTTCTATTAAATAATAATAATTTAAAGGAATTCTGCTAAGAATATTCATAAAACTTCTTCATATGAATTCGTTTGTTCCATTGAACAATATAAAGTATAAATCTTCACACATTATTCCTTTATTTGTTTTTTTTTTTTAAACGACAATTTCATTTTTGGTAATTTTTATTCATTTTATATTAATTTGACACATTAACATTTTTTTCTTAACTCTTTTTTTTTTTCACTTGGTCAAAATTGAATTCATTAAAGTTTAATCGTACATAAAATGAACTTTATTGTATGTAGTTTTTGAATAATTCTCGATTGATCTTAAATAATCACATAATCATCAATTATGGTAATTATCATTTAACAATAATAGAAAAATAGTCCAATACATGTTATTACTGTATTATTATTAATCTTATTAAAAAAAAATTTTTTTTTTTTTTTAAATTTAATATAAATTACAATACAATATAAGTAATAATAATAATCTTTGTTAATTTGGTTAATAGTTATCTCAGATATATTTTTTTCATTCCGCATTGATGCTTGTCAAAAATTAAATTTTTTTTGAATGGATGGATTCTCATTATCGATGATTATATAATCAGTTCCTTGTTCAAAATGAAAATGCGGTTTCCTTTCAAAGTTACACTATATTAATTAAATTATTATTATTTATTATTTATTATTTTTTTTTTTTCTTGAATTTAAAGTACTGTACAATTAATATTTTTACAACAATAAAGCATAAATTTACAATATTAACAATTTCAATTTACAAATTATTTTTAATTAAAGTATTTGAAAATAAATCTTTACACAGTATCAGATATTAAACATAAATAATATGTTTCATAATCCGCATAATCATGTTATACATCGTGCCCTGTGAGAAAGAAAGAAAAAAAATTTTTTTTTTTTTTTTGAGTAAACCCCCGACTCTCATCGACATCAGAGATATACAATAATGTGTGTAATTTGCAGATAAATAATTAATTGATTTTCAAACTGTACATATCTGTTTTTTGTAAGATTGACGGAGAAAGACGATGATGAAATTTTGGGGAGGGGGTGATTCAAATTTAATACCTTACATAACACAAAAAACAACAATAATAACAATAATAACGACGACAACAAACACTTTCAGTTATCTCATTTTTTCCTAATAAAAATAAATGCTAACCAAAAGTATAAAATAATCAATTTTGATTTTTGTCAACAAATCTATATCTTGTGTATTTTGTATATCATAATAAATATATCATATCAGTGAACCGTTATCGGATAAATATTTCTCTCTCAATATATTATTGTACAATTATTGCTATTATTAAACTATTACCATATGTAATAGAGTTATTGTTCCTATTCCTGGGAGATTTTATTTTCACGATAAAAATCCGTCCGCAAGTTCACAATTATTCCGCAAGATTCCAAGATTCAAGTTTCCTTCAATTATATCCGTTCATTTCTCATTTATTCATTTCATTCATTCGTTTCCTTCAATTATATTTGTTTATTATTCATTCGTATCGTTCATTCATTTATTCATTACTTATTTATTTTAGAATTATTATTTGACTCATATCTATTATTAAATTATTTTTGTGCCTGTATCAAAAGATAACAAAAGATGTTTTCCAAACCAAGATTTCTACTACAATAGGTTGGTTCTTTTAATTGTACACTAATAAATAAAAAAAAATTAGATAATCTATACAATATTATCGGAACTGGGTGTCAATTATATAAATTATATAAAATAATAAATATAAAAAATAATAAAATAAAATATATTAAATACTGTATATTAAAAAAAAATAAAATATTATTATTTATGTAACACGTTGTTTCACTATCAATCGATTGTACCATTGTTTATTATTTAATATTTCCGTATTACCTGTTGATTATGCATTAGTATTTTCAATTTCCAGTTCAATTTTATCTGGGCATTTTTTTTCACATTTTTACCCATTTCAATATAAAAAATATAGAAAAATATAGAAAAATATAGAAAATATAGTAAAATATATGGAAATATTTATTAAAATATAATCAAAAATATAATAAAACACAATAAATCATAATAAATCTTAATAAAATATATAAATATATATATAAATAATAAAATATGACATATTCATCGCAATCATTATTAGCAGTGGGAATTGGATGCCTTTTAATAGGTTATTTGTTTGGAAGTAGAAAAAATAAGAAAAACCACGTTTTGGTAAATAACATTTTACCTTAATAATAATAATAATAATAATAATTATTATTATTATTATTATTATATAATTATATAATAATTAATTAATATAATGTCATGATAGAAAATCAACAGCATTATAGATTTTAATGAGGAAATGAAATTAGTAAGTTTTATCTTTACATTTATGTTGTTTGTTTTTTTTTTTCTTAATTATTTAAAAAATTTTTTTTTCTTAATTAATTAAAAAATTTTTTTTTCTTTAATTAATTAATTAAAAATTTTTTTTTCTTTATAGGTTTTAGTGGTTAGAAATGATCTTGGAATGGGAAAAGGCAAAGTTGCCGCCCAGGTGACATTCATTTTAAAAATTAAAAATATTTTTTTACATGAATCCAGTCTTTTTTTTTTTTTTATCAATTCTTCCTCAACTTCTAATATTATTTGATAGTGTTCTCATGCAACATTAGGTTGTTACAAAAAATTAAAAAAGATAAATTCTGAGGTTTGAATTATTATTTTTTTATTATAATATCTTTATTATTATAATATCTTTGTTATTATAATATTTATATTATTATCATATTTTAATTTATATATATATATATATAAGTTATTAGAGGCTTGGGAGATACAAGGACAACCTAAAGTAGTATTAAAGGTTAACAGTAGAGAAGAATTGTATGTCATTATAAAAAATTTATTTGGAAATTTTTATTTGAGAGAAAATTGATTTTTTAAAAATAAAAAAAGAAATATAAATATATAATAAATTAAATAAAATAAAATATAGGTCATTATTAGAAGGAAAAGCCAAAAGTCTTAATTTGATAACAAAAATTATTAGTGATGCTGGCCGGACTCAAGTTGAACCTGGATCTCAAACTGTATTAGGAATTGGTCCAGGTAAATTATTTTATAATATTAATTTTATGTTCATATTTTTATTATTAAATTTATTAAATTATTATATTATTATAAATTATATATTTTATATTACATTATTATATTAGGACCTGTAAAATTGGTTAATCAAGTTACTGGAGATTTGAAATTGTATTAAAAATAAAATTAAATGTAGGATAAATAAATAAATATATATATATATATATACAAACTATTTTATATTATATATATAGTTAATATTATTAATATATTAATAATATATTACTGCTGATCTTAATACATTTATCAGAGAAATAATAAAAATAAAAAATGTAAATATCTTCTATTTGTTTAAATGTTTATAAATCTTATTATATAAAATATAATTATAAATATATAATAAATAAATATAATAAATAAATATAATGAAAATAAAAAATTGTAAAATAATTATTCAGTATAATAAACTCCTCTTCTGACTTTTCCAACATGTTTATCTATAGGTTCATCATAAAATGTTGACCTCCTATAATATCTTAAAACCGATAATGCAGTACTTTCTAAATTTTTAGGTAAAATTCCCAAATCTTCAAAAGTTTTTACTGCGGTATTCTTAATCTTCTGCTCTTTGTCAATGAATGAAGGAGTAATTTTATCATCAATATGAGCTCTTTCGACATCATCAGGTGAATATGAAGATATAAATGGTAAATGCATTAATTTTGCCACAATCATCGCAATCATTTTTGGTATATATATTTGAGTTCTACGACTTCCTACTATATTGTCAACTAAATTGAAAATTTGTTCGTGAGTATATTCTCGAGGACCATAAAGTTCATAAGTTTCTCCAATGGTGGATTCGTCTGATAAAATCGTTTCTAAAGCTGCGGCTACATCGTTGACCTATATTATTATTATCATTATTATACATTATTATTATCATATGGTATTATAATAATATTATTATTTAAAAGTAATAAAACATACGTGAACAGGGTTGCATTTAGTTTGTCCTCCATTGAGTACATATTCAAACGTTGTGCCTGATAAATTAAAGAAAATAAATTAATTAAAGACTAAGAAAATAAAATAAATTAAAGAATAATAAAACACAACGCTTACCCGCTAATCTATTCAAAAATCTATCTTCAGCACCATGCATTACAGAAGGACGAACTATAGTTGCATCTGGAAATTCTGCTCTCACTGCTTCTTCTCCATAAGCCTAAAATATTATAAATATTATAAATTTATCTACTTATATGTATTTCAATTAATAATAATAAAAAATATTACCTTTGACCTATAAAATTTTGATTTTGAATTTTTATCAGCATTTAATGAAGAAACGTGAACAAATCTTGCTACTCCATCTTCCCTCGAAATTCTAGCAATTCTTGCGGCTCCTTCTACATGAACTTGTTCAAAAGTAAAATTACTATAATAATTATAATAATTTATTTTAAAAAAAAAATAAAATGTAAAAAAATAACAATATTATATCGTAATAATAATAATAATAATAATATTGATTAAATGTATATTTTGAATGACCAACAACATACTTTGTCTCATAATCTCTGCCTATTAAATTATAAACTATATCTGAATTTCTAATACATTCATGAATATTTTTTTCATTGCGAAGATCAAATTCCTGAACAAGAAAAAAAAAATTCAATTTTAACATTATTATAATTATTAAGAAAAAAAATATAAAGAAGAAAAAAAATATGAAGAAAAAAAAATATATATACAGAAGTAACGAAAAAGACATACCAAAGGAACAACTTGTCCCAAATCACCATTAACTTTTAAATGTCTCTTTTCATCTTCATCACGATAAGGAACAACTACTTGAGTACCATGTTTTGCTATTTGAATTAAAAAATTTATTTATTACATATTTTAAATATTTTATCTAATTACTTATTTAAAGAATTTTAAAGAAACATGTAATTATTCCTTCTTAAATAATCATTCCTTCTTAAATAATCATTCAATCTTTAAAGTATCATTCCTTTCTTAAAGTATCATATTAATACCCACCTAATTTACTAACAACATATCTACCCAAGAAACCTGTACAACCAAATACAGTTGCTACATGTCCACTTACTGATGATCTTCCACCAGCTCCAAATTTAACAATAGGTTTATGAGTTCTCTGTCTTATAATAAGATCATGGGCAAATCTCTATATAAAAATTTATAAACATTTAAATTATTTCAATAATAATTATAATAATTATAAATTGGATTGTTTATTTGATTATTTCAATTTATTAAACCAAAAAAACTATAAAAGTAATTATTTTAATTTATTAAATCAAAAAAAAAAATTATATAAAGGCAATTAATACAAAATACCTTTTGATTGTTAGCTGGAATAAATAAATTCTTGCAAGCTATATTAATGATATCTTGTCCAATAATACCTATATATATATATATATATAATTTATTAGATAATTCAGATCATTTTAGTTTTCAAAGAATTAGAAGAAAAAAAAATAAAAATATATGTATTTTAATATTACGATTCTTTAAAGAAGTTATGGACATTATCAAAGATTTTATATTAGATAAAATCGTGATTTTGAGTATTTTATTAAAGATCGACGAAGATCGACGAACAAATGGCCAGAGATCTGACCAATAACATTTAAAAGGAATACCATAATTATCTTTTGTTATCAAAGATGTTTTGTGCGCGTAAGTACTCTTAATAAATCTACGATCAATTTAAAGATTGTCAAAATTAATCTTTTGAAATAAAATATAATAGTTTCAGGAGAACCACCACAGGAACCAGTAATTTGCAAAAAATCTGGTCAGATCTTTGAGAAAAGATTGATCGAAAAATATATTTCAGACTATGGAAAAGATCCTATTAGCGGGGAGGATATTACTGAAGATGACTTATTAGAGATAAAAGCAAGTAGGTGTTCTCCCAGAAAATATATTAGAATATATATAATTGAACATACGTGAGAGAGAATGAGATGATGATCTATAATAATAAAAAAATAATTAACTAGAAGCTGTTGCTGAATATTTTTGATGAGAATATATTTCTGATTTTTTTTTTCAAGTCAACTTTTATTATTATTATTTTTTAAATAATTCATGATAATCCATTGAATTCATTATAAATATATATATATATAAGGTCCCAAAACAGTGAAACCTCGACCTGCTACTTTAACCTCGATTCCATCTTTATTGGCCGTTTTTCAGAATGAATGGGATAGTTTAATGTTAGAAACATTTACTCTTAAACAACAATATCAACAAGTTCGACAAGAATTAAGTCATGCTTTATATCAACATGATGCTGCATGTCGAGTTATTGCTAGGTTAATGAAAGAAAGGGATGCCGCAAGAGAGTAAGCAGAGTGATTTTATATATTGAATGAAAATTAATTAAAATTGATTAAATTAATTAATCGATTAATTGATCTTCATTTACAATTATTTTATTCAATTATTATAGAGCATTGACGAATGTACAGGCTCATATTAATGTTCAACCTCCTCCAGAATCAACTGTAACTGAAACACCCATGGAAGTAGAAGAGGAAATGAAAGGAATTAATGAAACAGTTATAGAGAAATTAAACGAAACTAGTAAAACGTATGTATATATGTTAAAATTAATTTATTAATAAATATTATTAATAATTTGTTAATTTATTATTAAATATATTAAATATATTTATAAATATAATTTTCATAGTTTGTCACAAGGACGTAAGAAGAGAAAAGCACCACCTAATCTCACCTCAGTAGATACAGTAAAAACTTTTACTCAAATAACTGTAATTGGTTCTTTACATACTACTTCATCTCCCGGAATAACTTGCTTAGATCTTGATCAAACAGGAGAATTAGTGATTACTGGTGGAAATGATAAAAAAGCATTAATATATAATAGAAAGGATGCAAAGGAAGTTTGTTCTTTGAAAGGTCATACTAAAAAGATTACAGATGTATTATGGTTAGGAAAACCAGAAGAAAATAATAATGGAGATATTGCATTTACTTCAAGTGCTGATAAAACCATCAAAATATGGAAACCTAATGAAAATAACAAAAAAGGTATGTTACGCATAATATAAATATAAATATATAAATATAAATATATAAATATAAATATATATATATATATTAAATATTATATTGTTCTAAATAAAGAAAGAGTAAATCATATTGTTTATATTTGATATTTTTTCTCTAGGTTATAAAGTTGCTAGTAATATCACCTCACATTCGAGTGAGGTGACTGGTATCGCATTGCACGCTACAAAACAATATTTAGTATCAGTATCCAATGATTCAACATGGGCATTCCATGATGTTACAACTTCTCAGACATTGAGCAAAATCGAAAGTAAAGAAGTGAAAACAGGTATTTGGACAAATAATTATTATTTTGTTTTTAATATTACAAAATAATAATAATGATAATGATAATGATAATAATCCAATGAATCTTAATGATGATAATTAATTTCGAAATTATTTTAAATTATAGGATATTCAACTGTGGAGTTCCATCCCGACGGTTTAATTTTAGGAACCGGGACAAATGATTCGGTTGTTCGAATTTGGGATGTAAAATCTCAACAGAATGTCGCATCTTTTGATAATCATGCTGGACGTATCACATCAATTGCTTTTTCTGAAAATGGATATTATCTTGCGACAGCATCCGAAGAACATTTGGTTAAATTATGGGATCTTAGAAAATTATCGAATTTTCAAACACTGGTTGTTGATGCAGAGTCAAAAGTTAACAAGGTTGTATGGGATTTTAGTGGTCAATATTTGGCTGTCGGTGGTACAGATGTTAGGTAATCTATTATTTTTTTTTTTTATTTATTGTTAAATAATTTTATTAAGTTGATAATTTATTAATTTGATAATTTTTTAATAATAATAATAATAATATTTTTAATAGAATTTATCATTCTAAAACTTGGAATGAACTTGTAAATATTTCTGAGAATATGGCAGAAATTACTGATATGAAATTCGGTGAATTGGCTAAATATTTGTTAGTCGGTGGATTAGATCGATCATTAAGAATTTATGGATATCATCCTCAATAAATTAATATTCATACAAATAATTAGATTCAACAATTTTTAGTAATCATTATTATTTTTTTTTTTGAATAAAGCAAAAATATTTCAAAATATATTATTGATCTCGTGCGCATTTTTTATATAGTACCTATTTTTCGCATGATCTTGAAATAATTATAAATAATTATTTATCATATAAAAGAGAATCCAAAGGTTATTTTTTCAGATGTCATTTAGTCTATTTTCATTGTATCAAGGGCAACTTATATGAAATATGAAACGTGAATCATCAACTGTCCTCCTGTGAATTTATGCAGATCCTCGATTTTCAAGACAAATTACTCGTATCTTGATCAATGGTTGTAAAGTTTGAATCTTTTGGTCTAAAACAAACAACAATGCGAGATATCACATTTCACAAATTAATCCGATAATCCACTAAATAATTGTTAAAAATTATATATACTTTTTAATCAATTTATTTTTTTAACGAAAATTTATAGAAAGAAGAACATCAAAAGAAAAATTGTAATTTATATTATAAGTAAAATCAAGATTGCACTAGTCGTTTTTTTTTTTAAAAAAAAAAAAAAAAAACTTAAAAAAAATAATATTATACACTGTTACTTCCTGGGAGAGCAAGCTTTACTAATTTATAGTGGTTTAGCTTGGTAATGAACTTGAAAATAATTATAAATATTAAAAATAAAATGTAAACTATAGAAAGACTTCAATTAAACAAGAATAATATCAATTTATCTAACTAATTAATCAACTAATAATCAATAACTATAAATTAAAATAACTAAATCAATAATCAAAATACTAATCCAAATCAAAAATAAAAATAACTATAAAACTAAAAAATCAATAAATCAAAATAAAAGAATAAAAGGTGAGTTTAGGTATACAGTGTTCCTTTGGTTATTTCAGTAACACTTTAAGACAAAGTATAAAGTAATATTTTTATTAAAATAAAAGAAATAGGAATTGTATAAACTTTACAAACTGACTTGGACAAAATAATTTCTTTTGTTTTTATGAACATTTCTATTCTGGAGGTCTAAGACCTCACTTGGGATCTAAAGCTTACTTTGAGGTCTAAGGATAAACAGACCTCACTTGAGGTGTGAATCAATTAACTGTTAATCATTTTTTCAGAACAAATGAGTGGAATCAATATCAAGGAATGGTGAATCTATTATGTAAGTAATTGTGTAATCATTATATTAGGATCACTGATTATTTATAACCTTGAAATCTAAAAACTAGTGTTCTGATCCTATTTCAAAATACAATTCAGATTTTCTTGATCAAATTCAAATTATAATCCTTATCCTTAAATATTTATAATTAATTAGGATAAATCCAAATCCATTCTTATTTTTAGGATCCATCCTTATTTTTAAGATTTATTTTTATTTTAGGATTATCAATAAATTTTTTTAGGCATTAACCTTTGAAATATTCTGTTTGTTTCAAAGGATTTTTTACATTTTTTGACTTTACTCAAATTATAAAGTGTAAAGCAATTTTCTACTAAGATATTTCTAAGATAGAAACTTCACAAATATCAATGCTATTAGGGTGAAACATATACTGTTATGTAGCCAAGAACAAGGTCTTTTTTTCTATCTTAGAAATATCTTAGTAGAAAATCTCTCTATGCTTTATAATTTACAAGTGAAGTTAAAAAATATAAAAAATCCTTTGAAACAAATGAAAATATTTCAAAGGGAATGCCTAAAAAAATTTATTGATGATTTATCTTTATTTTAAGATCTATTCTTATTTTTTAGGATCTATCCTTAATTTAAATTTATTTTTATTTTTAAAATTATAATAATATTTTGAAATTATATAAAATTAAAATAAATAAAAGAAATTATTTTCAAATTACAATTTATTTTATAATTTTTTATTATTAATTATTCTTTTGTGTTTCTTTAATTTCATTTCATTCTTTTGCAAAAACTTTCATTGGATTAAGATTTCTTTTTAAAAAAAGTATTTTACTAGCTAAATCTGTACCTAATCAAATTCTTTTTGTTGTAATTATATTATTAACATATGAAAATAATCTTTCATATGAAACAGAAGTTACTGGTATTTCAAGATATTTACAAGCAATTTTAGATAATTTTGAAAAAAGTTACATATTTATTTGTCACCACTATAATGGATTTACATTTTCTTAATATTTATATTTGATTAAATTAAATTTTTATTTTTTATTTGACAATATTGACAATATTCCTTATGTGAATGTAATGAAAATTCTGTATTATTTGTTAAAAGTATAGTTGAATTAGATGATTTTGCAGATAATAGATTATCTAAATTAAGTTCATTACAAAGTTTTTAAATTATTCTCTTCTTTTTAATCTTTTGATTTTATAAAATCCAATGTTTTATAATGTGGATCTAATAAAGAAGTCATTAATTCTATATCATTAGAAAAATTCCAATAATAAATCAATGCAAAATAAATATTATTTTTGACTTTTTCAAAGATCCCTGTTATATCTAATGGATTTTTAATAGAAATTTTTCTTTTTGATATATTACTAATAATTTTTTTATCTTTAATTTCAATTAATAATTCATTAGTAAAAGTTTCTGTTTCAAATATAGTATTTTCATCAAGATAATTAATATTATCTAATAAAGAGTCACAAGCCAAATCAAAAATTAATTTTTTAATAATTGATATTATAATATTTAACATTACATAAGTACCTCTTAAAAAATTTCATGTTGCATTTTCAAATGACATTAAAAAATTTATTAATTTGTTTAATAATTTCCATTTTTCTTCAGATAATATAATCTTTCTTAATTTATTTCTATTATTTTTATCTTCCCTATTTGTGCTTGCAAGTAAATCAACTTGAAGTTAAATAATTATATCTTTAAGATAAAAAATATAATTTCAAATATAATAAGAAGAATTTCAACATGTTGAAACATCTTGAATACATCTTGATAATTTAATTTGATTTGTGCTTCTTCTAATTTTTTTATTTGTTTTAGTGTTGAAAAAAAATTAATTACTCATATTCACATGTATTCTCTTGAACTAGTAAAAAATAAAATAAAAAGGGCAAGAGTATTGGTAAGACAAAAAAAAATAGATATAAGTTTTATTTTATTTTTTTTAAAAGAAAATAAAAAAATAAAAAAATAGTTTTTTTTTTTAAAAAAAAAAAAATTAATTATTAAGTTATGTATAATTGATTTATGGTATAATTAAATACTTGTGAAATAATTGTAGCCTTGTGAAACAATTGTAGACTTGTAAAATAATTACAAAATTGTAAAATAATTACAGAATTACAAATTTTTATTACAATTCTATATGAAAAATTTACAATATTAAAGACTTGAAAAATAATTAGAAATATTATCTTTACCTATAGTATAAAATATTTTTTAATAATATTATCAATTCATTTAAAATATCTTTCAATAATATTAAGTAAATTGACTGTTGAATTTTGATTAAATTGTTTTTCTTAATATGCAAATTGTTCTTCTTTATTTAGTTATAACTGAATTTGGATGTCAAGTTCAAATAGTGTTATAGAACTTTTAACAATTCTTTTAATTAATATATTATAACTTTTAATATATTAAATTGATTATATTCTTGTATTAAATGAGCAGTATGTAAAATATAATATTCAACTGATTATATCAATATCAAGCATCTGTTCAAGATATTTTTGTATTTCTGAATAATTAACAAGAAGATTGTTTTATTATTTTTGAAATTTCTTCTCAAAAAAACTGTTTTGATATGAATTCCATTTTTTCACAAAATTATTATATTTTTTTGAAATTTTCTTTCAAATTCTTTTTTAAATTCTTTCTGAAATGTCATATATAATAATTATCACTAATTAAAAATTTATAAATATCACATCTATCAAATACCTGATAAGTATAAGAGCAATGTACATATTTATATACTTATCAAATACCTAATAGGTATACCTGCCACCCAAATTCAAAATCCAAATGCTGAAATTCCAAATGCCGAAATCCCAAATCCCAAATCCCAAATTATGATTAGTATTTTTTGCCGAAATCCCAAATCCCAAATCCCAAATACTAGTAATTTGGGATTTGGGCAACACGTATACTAATAGGTGTAAAAAATATTTTATTATACTTATCAGATACTCGATATACTTATCAAGTATCTGATAAGCATATAAACATGTATATTACTCTTAGCATAAGGATAGTTTGTTTTTATTGATTAGTGATCAACAATTTTGTAATTGACATGATCAATTAAAATTTCGATTTTATTAGCTGGTAATCAAAATCTCGTGATTGGCATGATTGATCAAAAATTTAATACATGATTTGTTTTATCAAAATAAAAATAATTAACTTCTTTAATATCTCATTAATTATTCCAATATGTTTCAAAAAAATTCTGGTCTCTGTTCAATACAGAATTGTAATAGTCAAGGCCATAATCATATCAATATCTACATCAGTAAATAATATTCTTAGTACAAGATTACTTATGACATCTAATAATTTACTAATAAGTTTCTTTAGTTTTGTCTGAGACCATAGTTATTGTAACCATTCAAGAACGTGAATAGTTATCAATAACAGTTGTTAAGGACAAATACATTTAGGATTTGATTGTTTGTGAAGTGTTATTATTTATTACAACATCATGAAACTTTTATTCAATTTGATCTGTAATAGTTTTATCTAAAAAAGATCACTAAGATAATTATTTTTACCTTCTAACCTTGTCTCAATAAATTATTCATATTCTTTACATTATTGTTTTATTAATTTTTCACATGTTTCAGCAACATCAGTTTTCATTATTCTTTAACTATACTAAAAAGGACAAATTGCATTATATACATTTTTTAAATGAATTATTTTATTGAAAAAATGTTTTTGAAATGTACAAATAATTGAATTCACTCTGTAATTAATGCTAATTAAGAATTTGATTTCTTCAAGCATTTTTACATTAAGATAGTAGT